GGAAAAAATTAACGAGGTGAGAGAGAGAAACAGTGAAATGGTCTTAATTGGACAAAATATATGAGAAAATTACAACGGTTGGTCCCTATGGTTTGCTCTTACTTGCACGCTTCGTCCCTGAAAGAATTTTTAAACTCGGACAATCCTATAACTTTATTTCGTTACCCGCCTAGTCCTTTAGTTAACTTTCCGTCTTATTTGGGGTTAGGAACTACTCACGTGAGTGGCACGCTGGGGCATTTTTGTCCTTTCAACCTACAATATATTAGCGCCATTTAGAATACAGACGGATGGTTTTACGATTCCGATCATCGTCAAACCAAAACACACACAAACACACTTGTCAGACGAATTCCCTTTCTTCTCTCAAACGAAAACCCTAGTCGCTAGCTAAAACTTTGTATGCTTTTCCAAATAATCAACAATGCCGGTTTGGAATTTAAGTGAAGCACGAGGACGGATGATCAGTGAAGCAGAAGTTCGTCTTCAATATGGTAAGTCCGCCTAGTCCCTAATCTCGTTTTTATTTGCATTTGCTTCGTGAAATCCTACAACCCTAATCAAATGTTAATCAAAATTTTTGGGGCATTTCCTTAATAGGTGATCATCCGACCATGTTTTGCATGCTATTAAACCATGGTGGAAAGTTTACTGATTTTCCTGGAAGGAAGTATGTAAACGGAAAGAGACATTACGTTGAGTTAATAGACATCGAGACTTTCTGTGTTCACGATATTGATGACATGATGGTGAAACTTGGGTATATCGATGAAAATCTACATGTGGAGATGTACTATCATTTTCGAAGGCCACTATGCGATTTGGATTTTGGCTTGTTTGCTTTAGCTTCAGATGATGATGTAAGGCATTTAGCAAAATATGTTGGCCAGCATAAGCTAATAGAGGTGTATACAGAGCACGGGCAAACGAAATTACACACATACTCGATGTCACCAAACCCATCTAAGGTACGTATAGTTGAGATTGATTGTACCCCAAAAAGATTGTTTTTGGAATGGCATGATACACAAGTTGAGCCTAATGATGTGTTGACATTTGAGCCTAATAGAAACAACCCTCCTGTTTCACCTACTAGAAATGAGCCTTCAATTGACAAGGTGGACATGGTAAGTGATAATGCAAACATCATGGAAACTGAAATTGAACATAGTAGTGATGATAATAGCAGTGGTGATGAGATCAACAGTGGTGATGATAGTGAGAGTCAAGATGGTGACTTTCTTGTGGACGAAGACAATATCATTGATGATGTTGAAGTTGACATGAGAGAATTCCACTTGAATGTTGACCCAGATGTTGAGTGGATTGGAGGTGCTTCTAAAAGAAAGAATCATGTAGTTACAGAAGATGGGAATGAAGCAGACCTTGAAGTTATAGATATGGAACTTTTCTTGTCCGACTCTTCATCGGATGATGGGATCGAAGGAGAAAGAAACAAAAAGATTAAAGCTATTAGAAGGGCGCATGAGAACGAAAATGCTCAAGTCAGTGAGCCTTTCTATTTATATCAGAAATTTAATTCGTCAAAGGAGTTTAAAGATATGGTTAACCAACATGCAATAGATACAAGAAGGGAGTTGGATTTTGAGAAGAATGATAAAAACAGAGTAAGGGTTGTATGCAGGGGAACCATAACAAGCCTAGGTGGTGGGACCGGTCAAGAAGTAGTCAATGAAGAAGGTAAGTGTCCTTGGGTTCTTTTAGCCAGTAAGTGGAAACGTGACAAGGATTGGACAGTTAAAACATATGTTAGTGAACATAAATGTCTTCAAACAAGAAAGGTTAGGGCTTGTGATTACAAGTTTCTTTCAAAGCAAATTCTACAACTGGTGGAAGCAAACCCAAAAATTCCAGTCAAGGCTTTAAGGGAACAACTTCAACGTATCTACAAAGTAGATATTTCTAAGATGAAAGCCTTTAGGGCAAGACAAGCAGCCTTAAAAATTATCAGGGGTGATTATGCCACTCAGTACAAGATCTTACAAGATTATTTGTTAGAAGTGCAGACTCAAAACCCAGACACCACTATCAAGCTTGATGTCGAAAGTGAACCAAATCCTGATGTTGAGACAAGAACCTTCAGACGCGTGTACGTGTGCCTTGGTGCTTTGAAGCAAGGATTTGCAGCAGGGAAGAGGGATTTTCTTGGGGTAGACGGGGCTTTCATGAAAGGACCTTTCCATGGTCAAATTTTATCTGCTGTGGTACATTTTCTCTTATGTTGTGGTTGAACCATATATTTTGATTTATTTTTTTACTTTTATTTATTGGATTGTATTGCACAGGCTTTAGATGGGAATAATGGAATATATCCTTTAGCATATGCTGTGGTTGAAGCTGAGACACTGAACTCTTGGACATGGTTTTTAACTCACTTGGGTGATGACCTAGGGTTGGCTTCAAATTCAAATTTTACATTTATATCAGACAGGCAAAAGGTTATTTTCTTGTGTTTTGAATACTAATATCTAAAGGAAAAGAAATCATTGACATAATGTATCTTTCTTGTAGGGTTTAAGTTCTGCCATCGCAGATTTGTTTCCTTGTGCAGAGCACCGTTATTGTGTTCGCCACATACACGAAAATATGAGGTCACGTTGGAGAGGGGATAAGTTTAAAGAACTGCTTTGGAATTGTTCAACAACATATACTGTGCAAGAGTTTGAAAAAGAAATGGAAGAAGTTAGAAAATTAAACCAAGAATGTTATGAGTGGCTTAAACAAATACCACCTCAACATTGGGCACGTTCTCATTTTACAGGTTTGACCATGTTATATATTATAATATATGATAACTATTGTTGTATACTTGTTATGCACCCACTCTGGTCACCTTATTTTAGAGAAAGGGTAGTTTGGGGTAATCATCAAATAAAGAGCATCTTGTTGGTACAGGGGCATTATGGGTATTTTATATTATTTAGTAATAGTTAAGGAATTGCATTCTGTTCTTTACATTGTGTTGTTCTTGTTGTGGTTACTCATTAAATTAAGTGAGTTCATAACAATACTCTAATGTTTGCTAACCAATTATACATGTATTCTATTAATTAATAGGGAGAGCACATTCTGATATTGTGATAAACAACATATGCGAGTGCTTTAATAGCAAAATAATAGACGGACGTGACACACCAATTATCAATTGCTTAGAGTTCATCCGGGAGTACATCATGAAGAGGATTGTGAATGTTGAAAAAGAAATTGACAAAGCAACAGGCCCTTTGACTCCAACAGCTACCAAGCTATTGCAAAAGATCAAAGATCAGGCAGAGGAGTATACAACATCATTTTGTGGAAATGGGAAGTACCAAGTGAGTGGACCTTGGCAAGATCAGTGTGTAGTGAATGTGAATCAACGAACCTGTTCATGCAAGAAGTGGGAAATAACTGGAATGCCATGCAAACATGCTGTATCTGCAATCTGGGACATGAGGAGAAATAATGGTGCAATTGGTATTCCAGAAACCTTTGTTCATGAATGTTATTGGCTATCAACCTGGAGGAACATGTACTCTTTCAAAGTGGATCCGATAAATGGTAGAAGAATGTGGATTAAGTCACCTTGTCCAACTACTTTGTTGCCTCCAAAACACCGTGTCCCAATAGGAAGACCAAAAAAGAAACGAAGGAAGTCAGCTACAGAAAAAGAGGATATGATCAAAGGGAATACAGTTTCTAGAGCACAAAAAACTGTTACATGTACCAAATGTAACAACAAAGGACACAATGCCAGGACTTGCAAAGGGCAGTTACCAACTGTTGGGAAGAAGGGAAAAAAGAAGAATGAGAAAGGAAAAGAGAAGGATAAAGGAAAAGAGAATGAGAAAGGAAAACAGAAGAAGAAAGGAAAAGAGAAGGATCCATTGTAAACTCTTTTATCATGTGATGCTCTTATTTTGGTTAAGCTATTATGTAATGTGATGTTTGTATTGTGGTTAAACTATTATGTCATGTGATGTTTGTATTTTGATTAAACTGTATTGTGTTTAGTATCACCAAAACAATTGCAGTTGGTACTTAGACATTTGTTTTTGGTTAAACTCTTATGTAATGCTTTTGTTTTAATGTTATCTAATGGATCAATTATTGGTATGTTTTTTGGTCATTTCATTTGGCATGTTTTTGGACATTTCATTTGGCATGTGTTTGGTCATTTCATTTAATGTTATATAATGGATTATTTGGAATGTTTTTTGGTCATTTCATTTGGCATGTTTTTAGTCATATGTTAAATGAAAAATACCAAAAGATTACAGTTGCATTGCATCTATTAATTGTACCAATAGATACCCTTTCTCTCCCAATTCCAGCAATACAAGATGGTAATAATCCATTGTAATCTTTTATAAGAGAACAAAGTGCAACTATTAATTGTACCAAAATATACCATTTCATTAAAATGCAGCAATACAAACATGCTAATATTACCCATTCATTAGATTATCTTCAACCAAAACCACTACTGAAATACCTAATACTACAACTTGTAAACAATTATCCCAAAAAACAAAATCCAACTGACAATTAACAACATTTTAAGGTTCCGATTTTGGATTTCAAGTTCTTCATTCTGGATTTCAAGGTCACGATTTTGGATTTGAAGTTCTTCATTATGGATTTCAAGCTCAAGATTTTGGCTTTCAACCTCATACGTATGATTTTCTTCATCTACCCACGAAATAAATCCACTTCTTGGTCCCTGAAGTTTTCAATACCCTCGATTAGCACAAACTAGGGTTCATCCTAGAAATTACCAAAAAAAATTGATAACTCAATACCTGTAAAGGGCATGCATAAAAAGGCCTACCAGGATTTCTCTTTGTTCCTGAAGTTCGTATGATCCCTACAGCTCCACACTTGCATTTCACCATAATCAATTTTGTGGATCTTCAATCTTCACGAGCAAAAGAAATGGAGTAGAAGAGGAGAACTGGAAGCACCGATTGAGAAAAGAAGGAAGGAGAAGTAGTTTTAAGTCCGTTGTAGGGTTGAAAGGACAAAAATGCCCCCAGCGTGCCACTCACGTGAGTAGTTCCTAACCTCAAATAAGACGGAAAGTTAACTAAAGGACTAGGCGGGTAACGAAATAAAGTTATAGGGATTGTCCGAGTTAAAAATTCTTTCCAGGGACGAAGCGTGCAAGTAAGAGCAAACCATAGGGACCAACTGTGTAATTTTCTTAAAATATATATATGAGATGTCGATTTTAATGTAAGTTTAAGTGAAAAGTTCATCTTACGATACCATTCTCTCTTGTTTTTATGTATTTTCAAAGGAGGACTAAACTAACATACAGAACAGTGATACCATTGTTTGTATTGTTCTTCAGCTAGACTTCGTTTTTTGCATGCAAAATACTATTAATGTCAATCATGTGATTTTTAGCTCACTCTTCTCTTAACACGTAATCATATTGCCGTTAAATTGCTATTGTATCTTGAATTTTGTATATATGTACCTAGTTTTGAATAAAAATAGTAACTTATACAACACTGAATAATCAAATTAAACTTATACTAAATGCACAACTTAAACCAATAAAGCATTATGATTCAAGATATCCAAATAAATATATAAATGGTAAAGCAAATAATTTTAAAGTTTTCAGTTTCAAAATGGTGTTATAATATAATGAAAAGCTTAGTGAATTTTGGCGTGGTGAGGATAAAGATAATTAAATAAATTAATATCACCACAATGAGCTAACACGTGTCCGTTTATGATCTACATCATAAAATTGATTTTGTTGAATACCTATAAATTTCGATATTTTGGGGGCCTAGAGTCATCCATGACTCAACTACTTTAATAAGAAACTCCATTTGCTTAATTAATTGGATAATTAGGAAATGGTTGTTATCCCATGATTGGAGTTGCAATATAGATTTTTAATTAGTTGATTAATTAACTATTAATTGTGGTCTTATGGATTGTTACTTAATCGCATGTTATGGAAGAAAGCCAAATATGTAGTTTGGATATGGGGTTACGTCACCCCATCACTCCCTTAACCTTTGGTGGCTTATTAAAATTTTAACATATACAAAACATAGATTATATAAAATGTAAATACAATTATTCCTTATTTGAAAATAAATTGATGTATAATAAAATCAAATACATGCAGGCATAGACAAAAGTAATAAGATTTTAGTATTATATGATATTTACTGTATTAATTCGATGATCTGTATTATTTAATTAACAATCTTTATGAAAAGTTTACAATTGATTCTCTTTTAATTCTTCAACACCAAAGAACCATAGTGTATGATACTTGATATATTTTAATTATGTTCTATCGACGAAATAACTATTTGATCTTAGTTTTATAAAGAAATAATCGTATGGTGAAAATTAATATCATAAAATGATAGCCAACAGTGTTATTCTTCTTTAAGTTATTTATATTTTATTTATGTGATTTTAGTCATTTATCATTTATTTCTATTTAGTGGGTCAACAAAGATTTTTTTTTATGTTCTTATTGCCCCGCTGGAGTGGATTTCAATTAGGTAATTCTGTCATATTGAATGTTATAATTGACGCAATAACAATCTCTGGTAGATATAAGTAAACGAATTTCTTCATATTGAATATCATAGTTGATGTAAGGGTGTATTCAATATTAATTTTCCCGTATTGTTAGAATTTAGTGGAAGATAATACTAAAGATGTGTTTTTGTTTGATGAGATAACGATGCAAGATGGTTTGTGTGGTTCAATGTTCAGATTTTTTGTCATACCACGAAGTTGTTTGAGTGGGTAATGATCAAAACTTTTATGTTTTTCAATGTTCTACATTGGAATAAATGTGTTTTTAGATTAATCGTCTTTTATTTTTGAAAAAATTGTAGTTTTCTCTTATAAGTGGTTCACACATAGAAATCGTAAACTTAAAGTCAAATGTGTTAACCGGATACCCTCTTTTGCCTATTGATATGTAAATGTTTTGCTTTTGTTAGCTTTTATTTAAATGTTCAAAAAAATATGAAAATCATAAATTTATTTATTTTGTAAATATATGTGAAGCTCAAGATTGTCAGGGAAACTCCAACATATATAATCACTTATAAAATCGTATCGTACCAATATGGAATACACTAACATATTTGTGTATAATTAAATGATAAGCAACAAAAAATAGAATTATTTCTCAAAATATGAAATTAACCTTTAAATGAATCTTTTTGTACATAACCTTTTCTGACCATCTTACTTGTAGAACACATCATAAGAACATTTTTCAAGGATCATAAGATCAAAACCGTATAACATAACCTATAACAAAATGATTAAAAACATGTGGTTAACGATATTTTGCTATTACAAGATTTTACATACATAAAGAAAATCATTTAGTTGAGTATGATTGGCTAAACAGCAAAACGAATTAAATTCGTTGAATTTGAAGAACGATGAAAGCAAAAAAATACAAATAGAAACGTGTTGGGTTAATGTCGTCTGATGTTGACTTCAATATGAAGACGACATGTTTTGTTTTATTTAATGAGAATTCATTTTTAGAGGATTAAACGCGGATTTTAGGCTGTAGACGTGTATAATTATATACTATTGTAATCAACATATCTAGAGCTTTTCTTTGCAAATCAATTTTTACGTTTATTAAATTGCAAAAAGAACAATTAAGATATTTGATAGTTTTCATTGGTTATTGATTATTCTATAAGGAATAACTAACAATGAGACGGTTGTTAAACAACAATTAAATACGTGATCAGTTATATAATTAACGACCTAACCTTCCTCCATTATTAGCAATTTGTTTAGTGTTTCTTGGCTTCCACCTTTACCATATCAGAACCCTCCAGTCTCATTTGACTTATATTTCCAAATTCTTAATTATTTTTTCTTTGTTATATGCCTATATTTATTGAAACACCGATATTATATCTGAAGTTGATGCAGGAAACATTTATCAAACAATAAAATCATAACAAATATGTAAGGAAACATATAAAAATTAATCGTCTAAAAAGTTAAAATGTGGAAGCATAAACTTTGGATTTCAATCTCGAATCTAATTACAATAAAACCTAAACAAGAAATAACTTTTATTACATACTTGATTCCATTGAGATTTTTGGATCTGGATAGTGGAATAAGTTTTCCAGTAGATTTCAAGAATTCGCTCTAAATCCCTCAGCAATTTCTAAACGAATTTTATATGTGTATTTCGTACCTTGAATATGCTTTTGATCACATATTTATATATAGATAGATATATAATCGAAGGGGAGAGATATTAAGAATTTAGGAGATATTGAGTTAAATTGAGAACTCAACCCACAAAAGGTAAGCAAATATCCTATAAAATCGGTCTATTAACAATTATATATTCTTACCATAATAATTTTGTATTTAAATGATAACAACATATGTACATGGATGAAATGGTCCCAAAACTATCTAACAATCTCCCACTGGATCATGAATATCTAAATGTACATACAACTATATTAGCGCTTTAATGTATGTTATCATAGTATTGGTACCCTTAAACAATCATGTCCACTAATCATAATAGTATAAGATCAAAACAGTCTTCGTTGCAATTTACGTAACTAAACTCATATATAACTAACGGCATATATTAAACATGATGTGTGATTTTAAAATCCAAATAGATTTCCAACGAGTTCCTTTTTAGCTTGAAGTAATCAAACTTCAAATCGGCGCAACTAATAATAGAATTTATCGAATCCTTAGTTTGTACAGAAAATAAAATTGGTCTTAAACAAAACATGAAACAACAACAAAATTCCCACTAAAAACAAATTACCACACCCATATGTGTAGTGTGCTCATGAAAGACCTTAGGAGACAATCCCTTAGTGAGCGGATCCGGTACATGGAGGCTGTGCTTTATAAATATTTATCCATTTGCATTATTTTGTTAACAACCAGAAACCTGATGTCAATATACTTTGACTTAGTAGAACTTTTATGGTTATTGGAATATAATATTGCTAACTTATTGTCACAACTTTTGTGGTCTTTTAATACTGATAATATGTAGTCTCCTGACATAATTTTGCAACCATATTCCTTGATTTGTTGCATCATAACATGTTATACATTATGAAACCACTATGGAAGAAGCTACCGAGTCTATTTCATGGGCTCAACATGCTTGCATTTAAATGCATCCTGATATGGATCGGTAACCGTTTTGGCATCTAATAAAATCAGATTCCTAATATAAATGATCACCAAAATATCTGATTTCCTATATTTGAGCATATAGCCTTTTTGTTTTCTATATATATCTCAAAACCCATTTGGATACCCTTTAATGATCCATAACTAGGTGCTTAAATATCTATCCAACATCCCTACAATATAGGTGTTTTAGTCAAAAATTGATCAAATAGTATTCAACCAAATTATATGAGAGGCTATGGTGTTTGAGGTAATGAAATTATCGAGTATTGATCAAATTGAGACAAGTGAGTTACAAGGAAAGCCCTTGATCCTTTTTAGGATCCCTGACATAAAACCTTGGGTGGTGATAATGATCACCTGCCTTGTTTTTATTAATTTCAATGAGAAGTTACGTAAATGATGAAGATAATATGAGTACAAATGTAGTAATAGAGCTAATCATGTTTATATCATGTGTATTTATAGTCTAGACAAAATAACTATAAGTATGATAATTCCGAGATCCTCTTGAATGAGCATATACACATTGTTTAACTTGGTATTCCCGGGTCTTAAGCCTAGTTAAGCGACTCTTCGTTGAGAATAAGTCTCATATTGACCATTTCTACACATCTAAGAGAAAGAAATAGAAATATGAAAGTTAAGAGTGTTAGAAAATATAAATAACAATGGTTAGGATCCTGAG